AAAGCTTCGGTGTTTCAATACAAGGATTAATAACTTCTTGGTGTGCCTCTCCCTGTACAACAATATAAAGGGAGGCGGAGAAAGCTCTCATGCAGAAAGAAGCAGCGAAAAAGTTTACGAAATAAATTTATTCTAAATGTATTAAATTTATTCTCAGCTGCATCCATGATGCTGCTGCATTGATATATAAAAAAAAAAAAAGAAACGAAACGTACGCCTCGCGTACACCTTGTGAATGGCTGGCAACATGAATTTTTGTTCTTTTGCGGAAAAAGAGGAAACCTGTAAACTTTTATGAGCACTATATTTCTATTTAATATTTTATTGCAACTTACTGGCGTCGAAACGATGTAAAAGAGAAACTGAAACGATCAAGTTTCCGCGTACTACTACTCACTGCAGCGAAACCCAAAAGTTGAATAGTGGAAAGAAAGCTGCAAAAGTTTCAGCTTTCTCTGCTGATCCTCTGCTTTCTGGAAATAAAAAATTAATTCTAATTTAATTAACCTAAGATCAGCTCGATCTTTTCATGAAATATTAAATTTCAGCTTTCTTTAGTTCAGGTGTATAGGCAGCTCAGCTCCTCTTGCAGTTTTTTGTTTTTTTTGTTTCCGATAGAATATGGAAACTATAAACTTTTTTCTTTGCATATTAGAGGTTCCGATGGTTAGAATTTCCTTTTTGAAAGGCATTTCTTTTCTTTTTCTACTTTTTCCCTCCGTCACCTCCCGCCGATGCTACTCTTCTGTACACCACCACCACCGCCGCACGAAACCCAACGTAAGAAAGAACAGCCTGAAACCTGAAAAATTTGAATCATGAATTCAAGTTTCTCGCGCTACAGGGGAAAGCAACAGATGACTCGGCGGTTCGTTTTTCTCTTTTTTCAACTCCACCGCCTCACCATAAAGAAATGTATTTCAGGAGCTTCGGGGCCCAGCAACGGCTGCGGCGATTAAGGCACGTTCAGTGCCTGCATAATATATAATTTTTTTTTTTCTCTTCACTCTGAACTCCATACAGAAACACCACCCAGATACTGGGTCTTTCTTTCTATACGATCGGGCAAATGCGGTAACACTAGTGAACTTGAAATAAATTATATATATACATAAATAAATTATATATATACATATGTATATATATATATATATATATATATATATATATATATATATATATATATATATA